AAAATGCTAACTTAAACCAGCTATTCGCAAAACCATTTACCCAAAGGACACCTAGACATGTGTCCGTAGAACCACAAACATCTACATACGCAGATAGTTTGCAAAACTAAAATGAGAAAAAGACATATAGCTACATCACACGAACCTATATTGAAAATATCCACAAAATCCAAACCTATTTAAACCGCAACCCCAGATCAACTACAAAAGAACCAAACCAAGATTATTTGACACAAAAGTTACAAAGATATAACAAGTTAATTGCACAATCGAAAACTAACGCTAATTTAGTAAGAAAATGTTATAACTACGGACTGTTAAATACCGTATACACCTACGACGAAAAGAAGTTAGTGGAATACCAGAACTACACAAAGCATTCATCACATACAAAAGAGTTACGAAAGGAAATTTATTTTATATAAAATTATATACAGCACCAGCGGAGATATTATACGAGGAAATAAAATCTCCAATACAGGTTATCAAGATAGGATTAACTAAAGATATGATTATACCCGAAGATATCGGAAAACAAGAAGAGATATGCAAAATAGAGATACCAAGTTTTTATGCCAACAAACGAATAATTGGTATATCAACGATTATACAAGAGCTAGCAAATAACTATTTAAACGGAAACGCTATATGGAGCTACTATGCAAGAGACCAACTAATGATTTATTCCAATTCAAGGGAGCTAAGGAAAGCAGATATGGATGAAGTCCAAAGATGGATTTTATCACTACTAAAGCCAGAAGAACGACCTACGACACGAGCACTAAAAGAAGGATTTATTTCAGTAGAATTATTAACCAGATATTGCAAGCTAATTGGTCATAAATATTTGGACCATATATGTTCAAAGTGCAACGGAGAAGATAATATAATTCCAGATGTCTAGCTGGAATGATCTAATAAGATAAAGACGGAAGAAGATAAGAGGAAAAAGAATAAGAAGAAGACAAGAAAAAGAAGATAAAAAGAAGATAAGGACGGAAGGAGATAAGGAAAAGAAGACACTTGTAAATTCTACTAGTCTTATTATTGAATGTAATGTAAAAAAATCAATAAAGTAGGTAGTGTGTGCATGTGCATATTAAAAGTAGGATGGACAAATGTAATAAAGAGTATAGGCAAGTATGGGCAAGTATGGACAAGTGTAACAATATTATAGGTAAGTGTAAGTAGTAGGAATGGTAGGTGTAAGTAGCACATTATTGTAAGTAGTACGTGAGAATTCCTTTCTATATAAGGGAGGATATATGTAAATATAAAGGCAGGCAATGCCTACTTTAAAAAACTTTTTTCAAAAAACTCTCTTAACTAAAAATTTAGTATTTAGATAAATGGAGCAACAATCTGAAATCCAATCAGATATTTCAGATAGCATGGCTAAGCAAGAGGCAAAGGTATATTGTTCAAAAAATATGCGGAACTAATTTCATATATTCCCGAATATCATATATATGATTGAATAAATTTATGTTAGTTATTATGTATTAGAATTATTTGAATCATGATTTCTAGTTTATTAGCACACTGGAAACAGGGAGAAAACTTCTATACTATGCCATCCTAATGTTGAAACCGGTAGGCGAGGAAAGCCGTTTAGGGGAGTAAACAAAGTTGAGGCGCTGATAAGAAGGAAGTATCCGCTAAAGTACGATGCTAGTAGTAACAGGAAAACATGATAAACAGATAATCTAGTTCATAATAATCTAATATGAATTTAATCAATTATAAATATGATAGGAAGGAATAATTGAAAAACCCTGCATAACAACGAACATGACTACATAGGTGCATGATGAAATGATAAAAAACTATGAAACTTTAATCTTATATATACTTAACGGTATAGAAATAATTGAATTAAGAAGAATAATATGGGAAAAAATATTTAATGATTACGAATCAGAAGATATATTAAATCAGCAATGGTATGAAATAAACCTACATGATTTAGACTTCGAAAGAATAGAATGGTATGATTTAGAAATAAATTCAGATTAAAATGAACTACGGATATTTACAATATTGGGTAAACTCTATGGAAGATATAAAACTATTAGAACAATTAATGGAGGAAAATTTATTTATGTACCAAAGAACCGAAGATATGTTATATCTAGAATATATCATAAATAATATTAAAGAAATATTCAGATTAAAACAAATATCGGAAGAATATTACAATAAATATTATTACATATTACTATGAATTTAGCACTACCAAAAAATAATATTAAAGAGATATCAAGATTAAGACACTTAGTAAAAAGATATTGTAATAAAATCTTAAAAATAAGTTACTCACCTACCACACTATCATCTACCACACTATCACTTTCATGAATTCACTAACTACTAGTTCCGCTACGAAAAATGAAAATTGAGGCCTAATGAAAAACATAGAGTCAGAGTTAAATGTCAGCATAAGAAATGCAAATGGTTGTTGTATGCCAGTTTAGACAAAGATTCTGGTGACTTTATTGTTAAGAATTACTATCATGTTCATCAGTGCCCTACCACAACCAAAAACAAGATGTGTGCATCTAACTTTATTGCAAATAAGTTTAGGGACATAATAGTTTCTCAACCTTATATAAAGTTGTGGGAAATTCAAGAGTTGGTGAGGAAGACGACAGGATTGTATGTTGGAAGAACTCTTTGTTATCGGGCAAAATTGATGATTCTCAAGGAGTTTATGGGTGATTGGAAGATGGAGTTTGCAAGGTTGTGTGATTATGCAGACATGATAAAACAGACTAATCTTGGTAGTTCATGTTGGGTAAAGACAGACAGGGAATCTACTCAAGGAAAGAATATGTTTGTTTACTTTTATGTTTGTTGTGATGCATTAAAGAGAGGTTGGTTGGAAGGATGTAGAAAAATCATTGGTTTTGATGGATGCTTTCTGAAGGGTGCTTGTAGGGGTGAATTATTAGTTGCAATTGGTAGGAATGGAAATCAACAAATGTTTCCAATTGCTTGGGCAGTTGTTGATCAAGAAACAAAGCATAATTGGAGTTTCTTCATCAACTTCTTGATACAAGATCTAAACTTAGGCACTGGACATGGATTGACTATGATGTCTGATATGCAAAAGGTTAGTTTAATGTTAATTTTATTTAATTTTGATCTCATTGCCTATTTATTTAATTATTATTAGTCATAAATTTCAATTTCAATTTCAATTATTATGATATGTAGGGTCTTGTAGCAGCCATAATGGAGTTGCTGCCAGATTGTGAGCAAAGGATGTGTGCTAGACACATCTGGTCTAATTGGCAAAAGAATTGGAAAGGAGAAGAAAGAAGAAAACAATTCTGGAGATGTGCAAAATCAAGTTTTGAGGTAAAATTTCAAGATGAAATGGACAAACTTAATAAACTTGGTAATAAGATCTGTGGGGACTTGTTACATTATGAAAAAAAGACCCTGAAGATCATGTTGTACATTGGTATAGAAAAGATACTTTCATGAAGGCTTATAATTACTTTATCCAGCCAATACCTAATATGAAAATGTGGCCTCACACTAGTGATATAGTGATTGAGCCTCCTGAACCAAAGCAAATGCCTGGCAGACCACCAAAATGCAGAAGAAAGTCAAAGGATGAGCCAAGAAAGAAGTATGGAAAGTTGTCCAGGAGAGGTGTAAAAATGACTTGCTCCAAGTGTCATCAACAAGGCCACAATAATAAAGCCTGCAAATATGTGGTAATACTCAAGCCAACCTTTAATTACTTCAATTAAATAGATAAAATGCAATACAATTTTTCTTTTTCTTATTTACATTATTAAATCTTCTGAAATGGGTCAGCCTGGAAGCTCAACCCAACCTGCAAGCTCAAGCCAACCTGCTAGCTCAAGTCAGCCTCACAGCTCAAGGCAACCTACAGGTTATAGCAAGCCACCAAGCTAAAGTATAGGCTCTAGCCAGCCACCAAGCTCAAGGAAACCAACAAACTTTAGCCAACCACCAAGCTCAGGCCAACATGTAGGTTCTAGCCAACCACCAACCTGGAGACCATCACAACATGTCAACTCAGGCCAACAATCAACCTCTATATGTGATGATACTTCAATTGTTAGAAGAGTTCAACAAGCTGGAAAAGGCAGGGGAAGAGGCAGAGAAAGAGGCAGGGAAAAAGCAGGGGGAGAGGAGGTGATGATACTTCAACTGTTACAGGAGGGCAACAAGCAGGAAGAGGTAGGGGAAGAGAAGGAGTATCGACATCAACAGGAGGAAACAAAAGGCCTAAGACTGTGGGATTTGGCACCTACACTGATGATATAAGTGGCAGACAAACATTGAATGTAAGAGTATAACCAACTTCAATTATTTATAATCTACTTTGATAATAGGCACTTGTTTTAGTTTCTTGTATACAGCCTGCTACAGCAGGTGAAATAGTTGTTACTCCAGCTGTTTTCAAGTGTGCAACACCAACAAACATTGATATTGGTTATAAGCCTTGTGGACTGAAATGGAAGGGTAAAGATGCAATCACCACTCCACAATTACAACGCATGAGTAAGTCCAAAGGGGGTGGATCTACAAACGTCTAGTGCAACAAGAGCAAGAACAGAGGGGTGTGACTACTTTAATATGTTTTGGGTGTTTTTGATGTACACTTAGAGGTTGTTTTATTTGAATATGTAATGCAAGCAGGAAACAATACTGAGACTGCTTTAATATGTTTTGTGATGTTTTTGATGTACACTATAACTAGTGGTTTAAATGTGGATTTTCTTACAAGGAAATGCCAAGAATTTTTTGTCGATCACTCATGCTTGTTTGGAGCTTAATGTTATTGTGTTGTTCACTTAGTATGGTTATTGTTCTTTGGAGGTGAAGAAAGCAAGGAAGAAGCTTGAAAAAATATCACTTAAGGCATCTCCGTAGGAATTATAATTTGGCTCGTGAAATCAAATTCCAGGCAGAGCACTTTGTGCCCTCTCCGCATCGTGGAGAGGGATTCCTAAGTTAATTTAACAAAGCGAGTTTGAGGCAGAACACTCGCGGAGATGAGCAATTGTGTGCGAATGGGAATTTAAAGATGCTTCCGCGTCACGGAGATGAGCAATTGTGTGCGAATGGGAATTTACAGATGCCTCCGCGTCGCGGAGATGAGCAATATGATAGATTAATGAACAACTTATCTCCATTCCTTCTTCCAAAATCAGTACAACAGAAACACAAGACTACTAATACAATCACTCTAAGACTACTAACGTAAATATTTCCATATACCGAAAATCACGAGTGCAATAACGCATATGATCCAGATTTTTCTTGTCCGCTTCCTCTCTTGTTCATAGGATTTGATTCTTTTCAATAGACCCCATATGATCTTTTTTGCTTGAGGCAGTATTTCATCATCGTACCATCGAAAATAATCGCATCCACCTCTTCTCTACACAAATTATCAAAATAATTAAACTATAATTAGCGATTGACAATGATTTATTTAACCAAATTAGAATAATGATAAAAAGCTTACCTTTGTGTTTTTGCAGCAAAAAAATCGACGTCCTGTATTAAGTTGTGTCCATGAAGTTTTCAATTTAGCATTGACCCCACATCGACATAACACATTTGCATCTGAAGAAGTTGAAATCGACAAATTGGACATTTCCTTCACTATGAAGAAGACGAATGAAGAAATTTTTTTGATCTCCACTGTAGTAGCAACAATGGTGAGATGTGGAGAAGAAAGAGATGAGAAATAAATAAAAGGTAACAATCTAGGGTTGGATAAATAAAAGGGGAAGATTTTGACTATTAAGTATGTTAAAGTGTGCCAATCAGACACATCAGCTTTTTTTTTCTCACTTCACGCGCTCAAAAGAAGTGCCTCACACGATAAGTGCCAAGTCAGACAGGTGTGTCTGATAGGTACACTTTTTGAATGGTTTAAGTGTTCAATAGGAAGGAGTCCTTGTTAAGGTGTCTATAAGGAAAATCCTTACAAGTTCAAGGGGTCGCTTATGCGTCCTGCCTTAATATTACTAAAGCTTTTATTGTAATATTCTTTGGCTAAGTGTTTTAATCTTGATATTTCTTTAATATTATTTATGATATATTCTAAGTATAACATATCTTGGGTTCTTTGGTACATATCTAAATTTTCTTCCATTAATTGTTCCAATAGTTTTATATCTTCCATAGATTCTATCCAATATTGTAAATATTCGTAGTTCATTTTAGTCTGAATTTATTTCTAAATCGTACCATTCTATTCTTTCGTAGTCTAAATCATGTAGGTCTATTTCATACCATTGTTGGTTCAATATATCTTCTAATTCGTTATCATTAAATATTTTTTCCCATATGATTCTTCTTAATTCGATTATTTTTATATCTTTAAGTATATATAAGATTAAAGTTTCATAGTTTTTTATCATTTCATCATGAACGTATGTAGTCATGTTCTTTATCATGCAGGTTTCTTATTTCAAATTATTTCTTCCTATCATATTCATAATTGATTAAATTCATATTAGATCATTATGAACTAGATTATCTGTTTATCATATTCTCCTGTCACTACTAGCATCGTACTTTAGCGGATACTTTCTTCTTATCAGCGCCTCAACTTTGTTTACTCCCCTAAACGACTTCCTCGCCTACTGGTTTCAACATTATGATGGCATAGTATAGAAGTTTTTTCCCTGTTTCCAGTGTGCTAATAAGCTAGAAATCATGATTCAAATAATTCTAATACATAATAACTAACATATATTTATTCAATCATATATATGATATTCAGGAATATATGAAATTAGTTCCACATATTTTTTGAACAATATACCTTTGCTTCTTGCTTAGCCATGCTATCTGAAATATCTGATTGGATTTCAGATTTATCCATTAACTTTTAAGTATTTAGTATCTTGAGAGAGTGGTTTTTTATGAAAGCTCTTATTCTGTTAGGCATTGCCCGCCCTTTAAGTTACATATACATCTTTTTTTATAGAAAGGAAATGACTAATACTTTACAATAATGTCTTCTTTACATTATAATAATAAAGACAATAATGTGCACCTACTCTAATAAAGACAATAATGTGTCATACACTTTATGACTTTTTACATATCTTACTATACACTTTATGACTCTTGAGTCCAACTACTATACACTTTACTATTTGCTTTTTGTTTTGTCGACCAAATGTATCTCTTTTTCTCCTCTTCTTATCTCTTTGTCTTCCTTTTTATGACTTTCTTTGCACACGTGTCTATTTTACTTTTTTGTTTTCTTCTTCTTATCTTCTTCCGTCTCTATCTTATTAGATCATTCTAGTTGTACATCTGGAATTATATTATCTTCTCCGTTACATTTTGAACATATGTGGTCAGGGTATTTGTGACCAATTAGCTTGCAATATCTGGTCAATAACTTTGCCGAAATAAATTCTACTTTTAGTACTTGTATCGTAGGTCGTTCTTCTGGCTTAAGTAATGATAAAATCCATCTTTGGACTTCATCCATATCTGCTTTCCTTAGCTCCCTTGAATTGGAATAAATCATTAACTGATCTCTTGCATAGTAGCTCCATATAGCATTTCCATTTAAATAATTGTTTGCTAGCTCTTATATAATGGTTGATATACCAATTATTCTCTTATTTGCATAAAAACTAGGTATCTCGCTTTTTTGTATCTCTGGTTGTTGTTCAATATCTTCCGGTATTATCATATCTTTTGTTAGTCCTATCTTTACCACTTGTATCGGAGGTTTTATTTCCTCATATAATATCTCTGATGTTGCCGTATTGAATGATTGTTTTCCCCTGTCTCTGCTATAAAATTTTACATAGAATAAATTTCCCTTAGTAACTCTCTTATATGTAATAAATGCTTTATGTAGTTTCGGTATTCCACTTAGTTCCTCTCCGTCATATGTATGTACTGTATTTAATAGTCCATAGTTGTAACATGTCCTTACTAAGTTGGTGTTAGTTTTCGGTTGTGCAATTAGTTTATTATAACCTTGTAATTTTTGGGTTAAATAATCCTGGTTGGGTTCTTGGGTTGTAGTAGATCTGGGTTTAAGGTTTAAAAATGTTTGGATTTTGTATATATTTTCTATATAGGTTTGCGTAATATGGTTATATGTTCTTTTGTCATGGTGTAGGCTATCCGCATATGTAGAAATTTGTGGTTCTATAGTTAATGTGTTTTTTGGTGTTAGCCTCGGGGTAAATGGTTTTTCGAATAACTGGTTTAAGTTTGAATTCTTATGTTTTTCACTAACTCGTTGGCTTGTACCTGCAGTCGTATTTAAACAAATGTTATGGGTTTTTAGGTGTTTCCCAACGTCACCTTTTAGCTCTGGATTTTTTGTCTTCTGATCGACATAGCTCCGCATTTTTATAGTCATGCTGCTGACTTATACTAGCTTTAGACTTCAGATTATCTTCATTAGTCTTTAGCTTTTGTATCTCGCTGTCCATACTATCCACTTTTGTACAAAGTGTAGTAATGGCTTTGAGTATCTTTTCAATTGTATCTTCTTCCTCAGTCTCAGTTTGAGTAGCTTTGTCGTGATAGGTAATCTGCAATAACATTCTTATCAGTTTTTATTACTTCAATTGTAAATGTAAAATTTAATATATTTAATACCAATCTCCTTATTTCATTTTTTGTTACCGAATCTTTTATTTTTCTTGTTAGCCACCATTTTACTTGTGTATTATATGTTCTTATAATAAATTTGTTATATACAATATATGGTTCAAATAATAATAAACATTTATATACCGAATATAATTCCTTCCTATTTATTTCCCATCTTATTTCTGTATTAGTAAATGTTCCTGAATAATATCTACAATGATGTTATATTTTTTCTTCTCCATACCTGTATTTTAATACTCCTCCATAACGTTTTTCACTGGCATCTGATTCTACTATATTAGTAAATTTTTTATTTTCATCCGGGAAATATAGTTTAGGTAGGTTCTTACATAATAATTTTACTTTTTGTATTTGCGTTTGGTCCTTTTTATCAAACTGGTATTGTATGTCTTTCTTTAATTTTTGTTGTAATGGTTTTAAATTCTCTGCTAATTTTGGTATGTATTCTCTTACTTAATTTACTAGTCCTAAGAATGATTGTAATTTCGTTTTTGTGTCTAGTTGTTCATTTGAGTTAATTATTTTTTGTACTATATGTGTTTGCATTTTTATTCCATTTTTATCTATCTGTAATCCTAGGAATTCTATTTGGTTTTTCATTATGTCTGCTTTCTTTTTACTTAGACTTATGCCTGAATATTCTATAATATGTATGAATTTTTCTAATAATCTTATGTGTTCATCTTGGGTTTTAGAATATAGTTATATATCATCAATATATACTACACAATTTTCTAATTGTTTAAAGTAGTTATCCATAAAGTGTTGATATCTACCTGGTGCATTTTTATATCCGAATGGTAATACATTTCATTCATAAAATCCTTGTGGTACAGTGAATGTTGTTAGTGTTTTAGATTCTTCTTCTAGTTTTAAGTGATAAAATCCTGATTTACAATCAAATTTGCTAAAATAATTATATCCTTGTATTTGTCTTATCTTTAGTATTTTATTTGGTATCGGATAATTATATGTTTTAGTTTTTGCATTTAAATTTCTATAATCAATAACCATTCTGTTTTTTCCTCTTTTTTGTTCACTATGTTTATTTACGATAAATGTCGGGCTTGTGTCCTTACTATTGCTTTCTTGTATATATCATTTTTCTAGTAATTCATTTATATGTATCTTAAATTTGGTTAAATCATTAAAATTATACTTTAATGGTTTTTAGGTTATTATACTATTATTATCAATTAGCTCAATTTTTACTTTTGTTTTATGTTTCTCCCATCCTTGTAAAGGATCCTCACTATATAATAATTCTAACTTATCTTGGATTATTTTTACTTTATCTATAGAGAATATTATTAATTCTATTTTAGGGTCTTCTTCTTTTATATTTTCTAATTTTTGTGTAATTTTTTCACTTCCTTTTATCCATTTCAACTTTTTATTACTTTTGAATTAAAAGGTTCCGGTAATTTCGTAAAATATAATTTTCTTATTTCTTTACTTTCGTCTATGATATATGTTCCTTTATAACAGTATTCTCTAAATGCACATGTATATTCATCTATATAACACATGTTACATATTGCTAATTTTGTCATTAGATTCCGGTTTATTATTTTTTCTTTATTTTGTTTTTCTACTTATGTTGTCATACTACTAAATTCGTTTTTTATAGCTATTTCGTATTTATATAATATTTTCATAGTTGTAGTAGCTATTCCACCATCAAATTTTTTATTACTTCTTAGAGTTTGTAAACTTTCATCTGATAAATTTTGTAGCCATAATTTTACTGTTTCTATAATTGTTCTTTCTATATATCCTGGTGTTTCTGTTATTACTATTTTGTTATCTATTAATTGTTTTGATAAATATCCCATCCATAATTGGATTGTTTTATTTATATCTGCTACACAGTCTAAATCTAAAAAATTATGTTGTTCAGTTATTGGTTTAGGCGTCCATTTTTTATTTAATCTTTTATTCCATATAGTTTTTTTCTCTATCATATTGTCCATAGTTTTCATTATAATATTTTGGATTTAAATTTTTTGGATTTTTTACTCCTGATGTGCTAAGTTTTTCATCCATGTCTATGTCTCCTATATTTATTTCTAAATTCTTTGTATTATCTATGTTTGTTAAAAGTTCTGTATATGTTTCGCTTGTTTTCGAATGTTGTTCATCTAAATCATTGCCATTTATTTCATCAATTCTTATTTCGGGTAGATCATTTTGGTTATTTTCTTCTTTTTCTTCTAATTCATCTTCTAATTGCAATTTTTCTTTAAATTTATTTATCTCATTTGCTAATTTTGTTTTTTGTTCTCTTTCTTTTTGTTTCATTTCATACATTTCTTTTAACATTGCCAACTCTTTTTCTAGTTCTATTATTTTACTATTTTTTACTTCTTCTAATTGTTGTACTTCCTTTTTTGCTTGTTGTTTTATTTTATCAATTTCCGTTTTTCTATCTATTTCTTCATTTTCTTTTGTTATTCTTATCATAGCAGTTAAACTATCGTCTAGTTTTACCGTTTCTTTTTCTAACATTTAACTTATATTGCCACCTATTTTCTTGTTTCTTCTTCCTAAATTAGAAAATATTATCTTTATTTTTAATCCGTCATAATTTTCGTATGTGTCACACCCCAAAACCGGATGTGATGGCACGTGCCCAAACCCCACCGGACACGTAAGCCTAACACCCAAAAACCTGACGATGCGGAATTAATAAAACAAGAATAAGATAGAAAGATAAGCGGAAGTCTTTAAATAAACTCAACATAACCCCAGAATTGGTTGTCACATGTACAAACCTCTAATACGGAATCTGAATAAAATATACAAGTCTCATAGTAAAATTCTAGAATAGAACAGAACAATAAATATAGATAACTTGAGGGCACGTCTGGAATGAACCGCTACCTCTCAAGTAAGTCTGGAAGCTCTAATCTGAAGATGAGTAATAAGTCGGATCTGATAGAGCTGTCAACCTACACAACTGTGTAGAAGCAAGGGTGAGTACCAAAAGCAACAGGTACTCGCAAGTAACACTAAACTAAGCTAAACTAGCAGCTACAAACAACTCATTTCAATCCCAACCGAACCACCGAAACTTTATTCTAACAGCGAACCAACAACCTATACTACACAATTCATAATCAACAGAGATATCCAACAGTGTCTCAACATCAACCTCATATCCTCATGTAAGAACAAATAGATCATATATCACATGAAGAGGGGAAAATAGGTAAAGTCCACACACCACAGACAAAGATGAAGTCAAATGCGATGCAAATGCAATAATGATGTCATGTAGTCGTGATGCATGTCTGTCCTAAGATACACATCTGTTGACGTAATCAGACCGCGCTGAATACTCAAATCAGAACCCATGGGGGCCACACATGGACCATGTATCACCGCCGGAACCAGATCCCATCGGCATCCAAATCGCTAGCCGGAGCTAGTCCATCTCATATATCTCTAGCCGGAGCTAGTCTCAACTGTGTCTCATATCCATCCATCCTCATATCAGTGTCTCAGAACTCATGCAACAGATAGTTCACACATGGGATGAATAATGAATATGCACATGTCATCAATCACAATCATTTCACGATCACATCATAGTATTACACATCATATGTCTCAATCACAACCATATCGCGATCACATCATAGTATTACACATCATCTGTCTCAATCACAACCATATCACGACCACATCATATTATTACACCTCATCTGTCTCAACATCAGTGTCTGTATCAATCATAGCCTACTCATGCTCTTCTATCCCCTGAATATCAGTTATCACATGACTTATTCAACAAATTCAAGTCACATATAACACATTTAGCTTGTTTTATTCTCCATCTTACAATTACAACAATTTCAATCAACAAATAAAACTCATCCTCAATCCCCATTACTCCCCAACACAATTAGGAAAGTAGTCATGTGTAGTCTAAGAGTTTAACAAAGTTTAGAAGTCACTTGCCTCAAAACACTTCAACTAGTAACTCAAATTTGAGTTTTACCCTTCCGAGTACGCTCCAAATCACCACAATCTATTCATAAATGGAATCTCACAATCAATACGAATCTAACAACACCAATATCATGAAATTTGGAGAAAAGGGTAAAATGGTCAAAAAAATCTCGTTCCAAAAAATATTCTCAAAATCTGGAAATTTTTAGTGAAAAATGTTCCCCAAGAAATTTAGAATCCAATAGTGAAAACCGTTTCGAAAAAGGAGTTGAAATGAGTTCACAAACTCAAATTTTCTATTAAATTCGGATTAGGCAAAAACCCCCAAATTTTTCAGTTGAGATCTCAAATTTTGATGTTAAAATCCATAAATAATCGATGGAAATCAAAGATATAAGTTGGAAATAACTTACCCAATGAATTCCTTGCGAAAACCCACTTGAAATCACCTATTTTCGAGCTCTCAAAGTCTAAAAATGGAGAAATGGGTATTTTTCAAGTTGGGGGAAAATGGCTACTGTTTTTTGACTTAAAAAGGACTGTTATTGCAGCTGAAACACAACAATAACACCAAAGTTTAAGTCCCCGTTGGACCCTCGGAATTCGTTCGGAATCTCGTGCACACAAACTAAATATGTACCTCCACTAAATTCGACGTTCCAGACTCAATGGAACCGTCGGAATTTGAATTCGAGGACTCCTTGACCCGAAATTCAATAAGATGCCAAGAAACTAGTTTAACGCCAAAAAAATTTGAAACTCAAACGGAGCGTCGAAAAATTCAACCAAGACTCATTCTAGACTTAGAATCGCCTCCCGAAATCAACGGTACTCTCGGAAATTCAATCCGAGCCTCGGAACCTCATATGTTGACCAAAGTCAACTCTTTATCACAATTTCACAACTTTAGCAACTTAGGACCTCAATTGTTCGTTTCAACTCCAAATTCAACTCCGTAACTTCACACAGACCCGTTTTGACATTCTAAAACTGCCGAAATCGACGGAAATCCGATCCGAGTCCCGAAACTCCAAATAACTCGAAAAAGCACTTTTTAACCAACTTTAACTCATAAAAACTCAACTTATCAAAAACTCAACTTTTTACCAACTTTTCCTCAAACTAACTTTACAACCACAAAACATGGGACTCGGGGCAACTATCGAAAGGGCAAAATAGTCATTTCCACGAAAAATTACCAAAATGACCTTTCGGGTCATTACATCATTCACCACTAAAAACCATGTTCGTCCTCGAACATAAAGTAAAAGAAAGTACCTGAAGCCTCGAAAAGCTGGGGATATCGGACCCGCATATCATCCTCGGACTCCCAAGTCGCCTCCCTATCTGATCGATGCCTCCACTGAACCTTCACTGAAACGATGTCCTTGGTCCGGAGCTTGCGAACCTGTCTGTCCAAAATAGCTATAGGCTGCTCCTCAAATGTCAAATCTAGACTCAACTCCACCGACTCAACCGAAATCACGTGAGACTCATCCGGAACATACTTTCGGAGCATAGAAATATGGAAAACTGGATGCACGGCTGTCAAACTAGGTGGCAAGGCTAACTTGTAAGCCACCTCTCCCATCCTCTCCAAAATCTCATATGGGCCAATGAACCTAGGGCTGAGCTTGCCCTTCTTCCCAAATCTCATCACACCCTTCATGGGCGATACCCGAAGCCAAACTCGATCACCCACCATGAACTCTAAGGGTCGAACCCTCCTGTCAGCATAACTCTTCTGCCTACTCTGGGCAGTCAAGAGCCTACTCTGAATCACACGAACACGCTCCATAACCTCTCAAAGAATATCAGTACCCAAGGGAGTCCACCTCCGCTGAATCAAACCATCCAATAGGTGATCTACACCGCCTACCATACAGTGCCTCAAAAGGTGCCATCTAATGCTAGAATGATAACTGTTGTTGTAGGCGAACTCTGCCAATGGCAAGTGCTGATCCCATCTAGTACCAAAGTCGATCACGCAAGCCCGAAGCATGTCCTCCAACACCTGAATAGTCCTCTCAGACTGACCGTCAGTCTGAGGGTGAAAAGCTGTGCTCATGTCGAGTCTAGTGCCCAAATCATGTTGTAATGCTCTCCAGAAATCAGAAGTGAATACTGAACCCCTGTCAGACACAATGGACACCGGCACTCCGTGCAACAAGCAGAGTCGCGCCATCTTCTTGAAGTAATTTTGCCTGAGTTTCCTAAGCCTGAATTGCCACATTTACCTGAATTCCCTAAAATTCCAAAATCCGAGCTACCAACTCTACCAAAGCCCGAATTGCCACATTTACCTGAAATCCCAACTTTGCCTAATTAAGCCCAAATTTCCTGAAATCCCAAAACCTGAGCTATCAACTCTACCAAAGCCAGAAATCCCCGTAATCCCAACATTATCAACGCCTGAACTTCTAGCATTGCCAAAACTTGAGATATCTGTCATTCCTAAACCTGAATTACCAACTTTGCCAAAGTCAGAAATCCCTCAAGTGCCTAAAAAGCATTGAGCAGGGAGCGTATAAAATCCTCTTTGCTTCATTGAAGTAACAATATTGTTAAAATGTTAACACTTAATTATGTTATGTGATCATATGTATGTTTTTTTCTTTATTGTGCTAGAATCATTTGCAGCTTCCCTTTTCAAAAGAAATATATATATATATATATATAGTTTTATGAAACTATATATTCAAACCTTTATATTATTTACAATTTTGTTAAACAAAAATGTTTGAAAGGACATTATTATATGGCTACGAATTACGATATTATGTCTTCCACATAATCGTCTTGCTCACGCAATAGGCATGCTCCAACATAGATGTTAGGTAAAGGAAATTAAGCAAGTAGATATAAATTTGAGAAGAAAGTTAAATAATTGAATTATTTTCTTTAAATTAGCCAAGAAAGTCAAATAATTAATTAAGGTTTTAGCACTTGGCTCAAAAACTTATTTCTACCTTCCATCCATATTAATTATATAATATTTTTAGTTTCGACACACCCTTTAAGAAAAACATTCACCTCCTAGAAAATAAACACCATTAACATTAGCAGTGTTATCTCTCTTTCATTTAAATAAGTGGACATGATAAACTGGTTCATCCTCCACTATGTATAACTTATCATTAATAACATGAAGATGATACAATAATAAATTGAAGAAATAAATAGCTAAAAAAGAAGAACTTAATAATGATCAATTCAACATGGACCCCTACCTTGAATATTTTGATTTTCATAGCATATAACTCAGAAGAAAAATAAAGAAGGTTAAAGTTTATAATTCCTCGTGCTATTCTACGTTCCATAGTGCCTTATATTACAAGTTAGGAGTAACCCTATAAATTTGAGGCTAGGCATAAGTGTTTAAATCAAATCAAAAAATCGTAGTATCAAATTGAAAAGTCAAATTAAATCGATAAAAGAATCCAACTAAACGTGGTTTGGTTTGATTCGATTGTGACATATATATGTCAAGAAATATTGTGATTTTCTCATTGGATGGAATAATTAAAAGAACAAAATATATATATACACACTTGCCCACCCAAGTATTGAGAGAGTTTGAATGTGAACTTGGGATCACTATAGAAGACCACTGAACTGTTGTCTACCATGTAGATTCACTTGAAGGTGTTTGCTCACGCTTCAAAAGGTAATTCTTGAATTAAATTTCAGAAAGTTTATGTGTTCCAGCATGATTGCATATGTTCTAGCATAAACATATATTGGTTATCTATTATTCATGTAGCAGTATGAGTTATGACTATGATATGCTTCCGATGTGCATATAACTTTCCAATGGTATATTTTTTATTCGTAACATTATTCACTTGTTTGGCAAAGATGATTTTTAGGGGAGTAATTTTTACAGGGATAATTAATCCAGACTCGTAAAGGATAAGGGCCGATGGGGGCACTTGGGAAAGACGGGCTGATCGAGTGTCTCCATTCAAGCGAGGGTACATGAGAAGAAGAACGAAACGAAGTGAGAGGTCTGGGGCAGGGAATTAAAATAGTTGAGTCGATCAGGCTCTACGATCGGGAGAAGCTAGCAAAATGAAATCAAGATTTGATTGAAAATAAAGAAGCAAGATTGTTGATACCACAACTGATCACCATCAATAAAGAAGAAAATTAAAATACGGTTACCCAAAAATAAATATACCTCATTATTTATAATAATATTGTCATCATATTTCAATTATCATGGTAAAATATCATAATAAATTTATAACTAAACTAAAACCTACTTATGCACAATTTAATTAACCGCCACTATGTGATATAGATATGTGGTGAATAATATTTTTCATTGATTAACTTCTTACATGAATTAAAATCTATATAAGAGGTACAAGTTTTATACATTTTCTTACCACTTGCCTTTCGCAACTCATTGATATTACTAGGAAAAGAAAATATGGGCGTACAAGGTAAGTTGATTGTTTCATTGGAAGTGAAGTGTGGAGGACATTCGGTTCATGATATTAATAACACTAATAGCCATCATCTACCCAACATAAGCCCTAGTAGAGTCAAGCATTTTGAGATTCATGAAGGTGAAAAAGGAAAAAATTGGTTCGATTGCTAGCTGGAAATATTACGAAGGTAGCACACACATTTCTCTCCTCTCTTTCTCGCAATATTTATTGCATCAATTTTCCACATTTAGGTGTATTTCATATTTCGAAAGTAATTCGCCTATCCATCAAAATCTTTTCCATGAAAAAGTTAGTTAATGGTGTTGATTACTCCCTCCGTCCACTTTTAATTGTCATGTTTTCCTTTTTTTTGGAGTCAAACGATAAGAACTTTGAATAATATTTGATGTATTTTTTCATGGAAAATTACTTCAGCCATCATTCTAATCTTCACGAGCAATAGATCATTTTTATTAAAATGAAAATGATAAAAGAGGGAAAATAAACTAAAGAATTTGAACATTTGAATTGGGAGTAACATCTATTGTATTTTCTGATCTTTAATGAATAGATGGAAAAGAAATGTTTGCTAAGACTGTGATTGAAGCCATCGATCCTCAGAAGAATTCAACCACTTGGAATGCAATTGAAGGAAATTTGTTAGATCTGTATAATTCCTTCAATGTTATTACATCCTTTGAACATCAATGGATTACATATGCACTTGTGTATGAGAAGAAAACTGAAGATACTCCAGAACCCATTGCTTTCTTGGATTTTTTCATTGGTGTGATCAAGGATATAGAGGGTCACCTTCTCAAAAATTAAAAAATCTACGATGTTCAATGGTCCTATACATACATATATCTATGTGTTTGTGTGTTTGTTCTTATGTGATGAGTACTTGAAAACATTGGCTAGTGCTAACTAGCGTGTAAAATAAATAATATTATGTTTAATTTGAAGAATAATATATATATACTATGTACGCCAGCCTCTATATATAATGTCATGTTTGAAGAATATATATTTGTGATTCAAGTAGCATTTTATACAGTTTTATTTTTACTCTAAGAACTCTGATATTCCATTAATTATTAGCTTAGGCTCTAATACGCATCATTAGATAAGTACTCTACACAAACGATATTTTGTGTCCTGTTTTCTTGATTCAAGTGAAAGGTAAATTCAAAATTTAAAGTTTACGAGTTCCTTCTGAGACCCCAAAGTAGGTGTAACAACTGAAGTTACGGCACAATAATGATATGTATTATAATCATTGAGAACACAAAATACAATTTAGAAATGGAAATATCAAGCAAGTAACAACTAATGATCCTTAAAACGAAACAGAGAATGTTAATCAAGGGGAAGACAAATCCAAAGATTGATAGAAGGGGATGAGAAGCTCTAACTAAAAACAGAGATAAGAAGAATCAGACTCTTTTTCTTAAGAATTTGCATAATTTCGAAATCACATATCACTATCATTTTTTATGGAACTGTTCTCATGCCCACTATTCAATCCGGATTCCAAATTAACCTGGCCTTATTGCTCGTTCTCAGCCCAATAACTCTTGTTAGTCCAATAACTATTTGTGTGACCTTGGTATTCATATTGGAATGAACTTGGTTCATAACAGTAGTATAGGACTGTAATGACCCGAAAGGTCATTTTGGTGATTTTTCGTGGAAATGACTATTTTGCCCTTTCGGTAGTTGCCCCGAGTCCCATGTTTTATGGTTGTAAAGTCGGTTTGAGGAAAAGTTGGTAAAAAGTTGAGTTTTTGAGAAGTTGAGTTTTTTATGAGTTAAAGTTGGTTAAAAGGTGCTTTTTCGAGTCATTTGGAGTTTCGGGACTCGGATCGGATTTCCGTCGATTCCGGCAGTTTTAGAATGTCGAAACGGGTCTGTGTGAAGTTACGGAGTTGAATTTGGAGTTGAAACGAAGAATTGAGGTCCTAAGTTGCTAAAGTTGTGAAATTTTGATAAAGAGTTGACTTTGGTCAACATATGAGGTTCCGAGGCTCAGATTGAAATTCCGAGAGTACCGTTGGTTTCGGGAGGCGATTCTAAGTCTAGAATGAGTCTTGGTTGAATTTTTAGACGCTCCGTTTGAGTTTCGAATTTTTTTGGCGTTAAACTAGTTTCTTGGCATCTTATTGAATTTCGGGTCAAGGAGTCCTCGAATTCAAATTCCGACGGTTCCATTGAGTCCGGAACGTCGAATTTAGTGGGGGTACATATTTAGTTTGTGTGCACGAGATTCCGAACGAATCCCGAGGGTCCAACGGGGACTTAAACTTTGGTGTTATTGTTGTGTTTCAGCTGCAATAGCAGTCCTTTTTAAGTCAAAAAACAG